TTCTAGGTGATAATAATTTTAATTATTTTATTTCCTGGGTCTTCCTGGAATTGTTAAAATATACAGCATCAATATATCTTTTGCATACATTTATTAAAGTGCAACAGAACAGTGGCATGTCATTGGAATGCAAGACTTCATTGTCTTTTTTTTTTTTTTTTTGAGACAGGGTCTTGCTCTGTTGCCCAGGCTTGAGTGTGAGTGGGACAATCATGGCTCACTGCAGCCTCAACCTTCTAGCTCCTAGGTTCAAGTAATCCACCCAGTGCAGCCTCTAGAGTAGCTGGGACCACAGGCACACAGGCCACCTTCCTTCCTTGCCTGGCTAATTTCTGTTTCTTCTTTTTTTTTTTTTTTGAGACGGAGTCTGGCTCTTCTCATTCAGGCTGGAGTGCAGTGGCGCCATCTAGCTCACTGCAAACTCCGCCTCCCAGGTTCAAGCAATTCTCCTGCCTAAGCCTTCCAAGTAGTTGGGATTACAGGCATGTACCACCACTTCTGGCTAACTTTTGTATTTTTAGTAGAGACGGGGTTTTACCATGTTGGCCAGGCTGGTCTCAAACTCCCGACCTCAGCTGATCCACACACCTTGGCCTCCCAAAGTGCTGGGATTACAGGCGTGAGCCACCATGCCCAGCCTAATTTATTTTTTGTAGAGATGAGGGTCTTGCTATATTGACCAGGCTGGTCTCGAACTCCTGAGCTCAAGCAATCCTCCCACCTCAGCCTCTCAAAGTCCTGAGATTACAGGCATGAGCAACTGCACCCAGCTAGGACTTCACTGCCTTTTGCATTATATTATAGGTCACTTATTTTCTTTCTTTTCTTTTCTTTTTTTTTTGAGACGGAGTTTCACTCTTGTTGCCCAGGCTGGACTGCAACGGCGCAATCTTGGATCACCACCACCTCTGTCTCCCAGGTTCAAGCAATTCTCCTGGCTCAGCCTTCCGAGTAGCTGGGATTACAGGCATCCGCCACCATGCCTGGCTAATTTAGTATTTTTAGTAGAGACGGGGTTTCTCCATGTTGGTCAGGCTGGTCTCACACTCCTGACCTCAGGTGATCTGCCCGCCTTGGCCTCCCAAAGTGCTGGGATTACAGGCATGAGCCACCGCACTTGGCCCACTTATTTTCTTAACAGCGGCATGAAATGAACCAGGGGCATCATCTTCCTTTGTAACATCCATGGCATCAATAACAATAAGTGGAATCCACGATAGTAAAATAAAATTTAATTAAAAATCCTGGCTAGGCTGGATGTGGTGGCTCACATCTGTAATCCTAGCACTTTGGGAGGCTGAGAAGGGAGGATTGCTTGAGACCAGGAGTTTGAAACCAGCCTGGGCAGCATAGTGAGACCTCGTCTTTAAAAAAAAAAAATCCTGGCCAGGCACAGTGGCTCATGATTGTAATCCCAGCACTTTGGGAGGCCAAAAACAGGACTGCTTGGGCCCAGGAGTGCAAGACAAGCCCTGGCAACACAATGAGACCCTGTCTCTACAAAAAAATTTTGAAATCTAGCCAGGTGTGGTGGTGCACACTTGTAGTCCCAGCTACTCAGGAGGCTGCAGTGGGAGGACTGTGTAAGCCTGGGAAGTTGAGGCAACAGTGAGCATGGTTGCACCACTGCACGCCAGCCTCGACAACAGAGCAAAATCTTGTCTCCAAAATAAATAAACAAACAAATAAACCCAACAACAACAAAAAACAACACCTATATTTTAGAGTAAGAAGAAAAGTAATATACTGCTCATGAGATGCTCCATTTTCCTAAACTTTGATATTCTTCTAGATTGGTAGATAAAACCAAGGTAAGGCAAAAATGTGGAGTTAGAAAGTTGCAAAGGAAGCAAGAAAGGACCTAAGAACGATGAACTTTTCAAAAATTTTTGTAAAGTACTATATTTATTATTTGCCTAAATTGTTTACTTATTTCCAGTTTTCTACCCAAACTAGAAAACATTCCCAGTGGCTCACGCCTGTAATCACAGCACTTTGGCAGGTTGAGGCAAGCGGATCACCTGAGTTTGGGAGTTGGACACATGCCTGACCAACATGGAGAAACCCCGTCTCTACTAAAAATACAAAATTAGCCAGGTGTGGTGGTGGGCACCTGTAAACCCAGCTACTTGGGAGACTGAGGCAGGAGAATCCCTTGATCCCAGGAGGCAGAGGCTGCAGTGAGCTGATATCGCACCATTGCACTCCAGCCTGGGCGACGAGAGCAAAAGTCTGTCTCAAAAAGAAAAAATAAAAAGAAAACCTTCCCAAATCACTTTTATTCCCTGTGCCACAAAAGTCAGCACTCCAAACTTAGACACAGCATATTCCTTACTATATTTACCTACTAATAAACAACTAACAAATGAGGAACAGAAAGTAAATCAAACACACATACAGGTTAGTATAAATTTGGTTCTGGGGTGTGGGATTACACAAATCTTCTTAAATTCCATTTCAGCTCCAAGAACAACATAAAAGACAGGTTTTGTGAAACTTTCTAAACACGTAAGTTTTTCTAGACAGGGTTGGCTGGGTCCAGGGTATTCAGTGCCACCATGAACAGATAAAAATCCAAGCCCAGGGTGAACATAACTCTAAATTACCAAAATGAGGCACCATCTGGAGCCATGCCAGATACTTAAAAGTCCCTGCTTCAGGCTGGACAGACAACAACGAGCTTCTGCAGAAATAGAACCCATTTTTGAAGTATATATCAAGCCAAAATGACCCAATTATCAATGTGACAGGGAAAAGCAAAGGGAAATAAAAATAGAAGTTCTAGTACAGTACCAAGAACTAAAAAGTCTTCCCTAGAAATGAGTTGCTAAAGTGACACTCATCATTTATTATGCTATCTAGTACTTTTATTTCCTGTCAATCCGGTATCTAAGTATTTAACAATGCAATACTAATTTTTTTCTGGACTTTTATCTTTACATTGGTGATATATATCTCAAAGGCATAAATGAAAATTTAAAAAATATCACCATGTACAAGAACTTATTCCCTTACCTAAAAAAAAAGAGACTTCAAGTTTTATCTTGTAACTTTACTTCTAAATAATGTCTATACAAGTTTAAGCAGCTAAGAAAGGGTTTAGATACCTCAGATATCCACTGGTAAAATCTACCTCCCTAGCTTCACAAATATAATTCAACAAATATAATTCCTTTTAATCTTACACTGAACAAGCGTAACAAAATAGGAAGCTTGTTTGTTTGTTTGACACGGGTGTGGGAAACTATCCTGGGCAGTCACCTAAGGAAATCCACCAACTGGACTGTCTCATATTCTCGTGTGAAACATTCAAGAAATAATCTAATCTCTTCAAATTTAGCTCCTCTTTTCCATGGGCTTTATTAAAAAAAAACAAACATATATATATACACATACACACATATATGTTTAAATGTTTACTTTGTTTGGATGCTATGTGTTCCTAAGAAACATTTTTTCTTTTTTTTTTTCTACTGGTACAATACACTAAGCTTACTTAGATTTCACCAGCTGTGTATGTACTCATCCCATGTGCTTTTGTGGTCTGAAGTCATCACTTGGAGGCACCAATGGAAAAGAGCAGTGTCAGAGGACTGGGATTCCTCTACTAGCTGTATGACCTTGAGTAGGCCACTTTAACTTATAAACAGAAAGTAATATCTGCCCTGATACATGATAGCCAATTATTTCACTTATATAAAAACTGAATATCTACTATATATTTATGAGATATGAGGAAAGATCCTGCTTGCTGCTTTGCCATTTTTTCCCCTTAAGAAGCCTGGTGGTAAAGAGCACAGGTTTTAGAACCAGGAGTCCTGCGTTTCTTGAATTCTAACTCTGTTGCTTGTTAGCTGTATGATTGTAGGCAAGTTACTTAATCTCCCTGCCTTCCACTTCGTTGTATACATGAGACAATTCCCACCTCAGAGGATTGTTGTAAGGATTAGATGAGGTAGTTCAATGAGCATTCATCCAACGTATATTTATCTAGGAACCATTCTGCCTACTGCTATACTGGTTAAAAATCCCCTTGTCCACTATATATGTGCCATACATTGCTAGCCCCCAGGAATTAAAAAAGACAATATAGACAATATAGTAAAGCGACATTATGGCAAGAAAATACTAACTTTTCTACCCATGTATCTTCTTGGAACCAATAATACAAATCCGACTTGTTTTTGTGAACTGTTACAAATGAATCTACAAGACTGAATCCAAGTGCAAATAGGTCTTGATTTAGATGGTATTTCTGAATAGTACGTTTCAAGGTTTTTATTTATTTATTTTTGAGACAGAGTCTCGCTCTCCTGCCCAGGCTGGAGTGCAGCGGCGCGATCTCGGCTCACTGCAGCCTCAGCCTCCTGGGTTCAAGGGATTCTCCTGCCTCAGCCTCCTGGGTAGCTGGGACTACAGGTGCGTGCCACCAAGCCCGGCTATTTTTCTTGTTTTTGGTGTATTTTTAGTAGAGTCGGGGTTTCACCGTGTTAGCCAGGATGGTCTCGATCTCCTGACCTCATGATCCGCCCGCCTCGGCCTCCCAAAGTGCTGGGATTACAGGCGTGAGCCACCGCACCCGGCCTGCACGTTTCAAGTTTAGGTGTTCACCAGTTCACCGTGCCTGGTTGATACACACAAGGTCAAAAATGACACAAAGATCAGAAGTGATGTCATATATCATACACGACTGTGCAACTAGTATAGGACCTAGCATTGAGTAAATGCTCATAAATATTAATTTAAAAAATTAAGTTTGGTTTCCAACTTTGCCACTTCCACACCGAGTGACTCTAGGTTTAACTTGTCTGGATCTTAATTTTCGGTAAAATAGAAATGTGTCTGCTTTGCCTATCTCATAGGATAGTTGTGATCAAATGAAATTACATGACAATGTATCTGGCGCTAATAAAACGGTAATTTATGAGACACAGAATGACTACTGACACCAGCTAGCCTACAAGCCTAATAGTAAAGGTAAGATGTTAATACATAACTACCAGGAAATAAACATGGAGATCTCGTGAAAACCCATGACATGTTTTCTAAAAATGTCATCTTCCTTGTGACGAAAGGAGCTGGTCATTGCTAGGCAGGTGCTGTGCCTTTTTCAACCTCCACGTTTCAGCAGCAGGCTCCTCTGAGTGAGATTTTGCAAGGCTGAGGCCCCCGTAGGCACAGCCGCCGTTGGGGTGCGCATCCGGCAACCTGCAGTTTACAAGCAGCGGATCCCACCTTCAGTACTGGCTTTGACAAGCCCTCCAGGTAACGTGCCTTTGCATTTAGCCGACCTAGAGAAGAGAGCTGGAAGCCAGCTCTACCTTTCACGGGGGGGAAGGGACTGCCCACCCGCTGGCCCCCATCACCTCGGCCCTCCGGAGCGCGCCGCGGACTTCAGCCTTGTCTCTCGCCCCTGCCTCACCGCACGTCACTGACCCGCGAGTCTCCCGCCTAGCTCCGCGTCCCAGGTCCCTGCCTCCCGGCACGTACACGACGCGCTAAGAGGCGCGGGGAGCTCTTAGCGCGCCTGCTACTTAACCCGGCCGGCTACCTACCGGCCGTCAGGCAGAAGCCTGCGATTGAGCTGGCCGGGCCTCCCAGCACCGCCGCTCTCCAGGCTCCCTTTCGAGGACTCGACTTTAGTCCGAGCCCCAACCGCAAGTCGGGTAACCTTTCCAGGAATCCAAATGGAAGGCGAAGCGGAGAGACGAAGACGAGCGCGGGGCGGGGCGGGGCGGGGCGGGGCGGCAGTTTGGACACGCCCCGAGCTCGCCTCGGCTCTTCCTCCCCCTCAGAATGGGAAGCGCCTACTGAGGGAGAAGGCTCCCTCGCCCTGCTGCCTCCTTTCGCCCTGCGCTGTCCGGCCTTCCGCGTGACCCCGCCTATGACCTCGGGGCGTTCCGCTCACGTCCGACCGTCAGGTGCGCACGCGCACTTGCAGGCTTGTTTGCCAGCTTCACGCCACCCAGAATGTGAGAAAGCAGGTGTCGCGAGAGTTGGGCGCAAGACGCCTTGTAGGGACTGTAATTATGGCGGACCTGCGGATCGAAGGTGAACGGGAGCCGCTGTTAGGCGACACACCTGGAAGCAGGTGAGCGAATCCTGGTAGAGGGACCCCTCAGCCTCCTGCGCTGTTGGGACTGGCTCCTTTCCGGGCGTCACCCGCACTGGGACGAACCCTCGCTGCCAGAGGGGTGCCAGCGCGGTAGGAGCCGGTGGCCAGGTTGTGTGAGCCGAGGAGATTCGCTCCCAAGGTAAGATAAAGGGCATCTGGCAGCACCTTGCGATGATGAGCCGGTGGGTTCGAGTGACGGGCGGGAGAAACCCAGGCTGCTGCTCTGCCTGTTGCAGCAGCCAAGCCACCACATTCTGTATCTTCAGAATTCTATATTTGGCTCTTTGTAGCTGATCACTTTACACATTTCACAGTTCCAAAATGATGGATTTAATCGATGCTTGAAGTTATCGGTCTTAATAATGACCTGCTGCCTGACTGCCTGACAACCTCTTTGAAGGAGTGGCCTGCCCCTCCACATCTGTGGGCGTTTCTCCTTAGGTGGAACCAGAGACTTGAGAAAAGAAATGAGACACAGAGACAAAGTATAGAGAAAGAAAAGGTGGGCCCAGGGGACCTAAGCTGGCACCGGTCTCTGAGTTTCCTTAGTATTTATTGATAATTATCCTTACCGTCTTAGAAAAAGGGAAGTGACAGGATAATAGGATCATCATAGGGAGAAGGTAAGCAGTAAGAAATGTGAATAAAGATCTCTGTGATATTAGTTTAAGGAAAAGTGCTGTGCCTTGATATGCATATGCAAACATCTCCATAAACCTTTTTAGTGCATAAAGAGCAGCATTGGTAGGAAGTCCCACCTTTTGCCCTAAGGCGGTTTTCTCCTTTCTCAGTAAACAGAACAACAATCTGGTTTTACACCGAGATGTTTCATTGCCCAGGGACGGGCAGGAGACAGATGCTTTTCTCTATCTCAACTGCCAAGAGGCCTTCTTTCCTCCTATACTAGTCCTCCTCAGCACAGACCTTTCACGGGTGTCAGGCTGGGGGACGATCAGGTCTTTCCCTTCCCACGGGGCCATATTTCAGACTATCACATGGGGAGAAACCTTGGACAATACCTAGCTTTCCTAGGCAGAGGTCCCTGTGACCTTTGGCAGTGTAAGTGTCCCTGGGTACTTGAGATTAAGAGAATGGTGATGACTTTTAACCAGTAAGCTGCCTTCAGGCACTTCTTTAAGAAAGCATACCCTGCACAGCCCAAAATCCTTTAAACCTTGAGTCACCGCAGCACATGTCTCTTGCAAGGACAAGGTTGGGGGTAGGGTCACAGATTAACAGCATCTCAAATATAGAACAAGGTGGATGTTAGGCAGGAATCTAGACCCAACATGGCGGTGTTACCTGGCATAGCAGGCCTTTTGTTAAAGACTCCCTTCACCCTTGTACACACCCGCAGACTTACATGCGTCAGAGTTCTGGCTGGGCAACCACACTGCCCCATGACCTGCAGCTCACCTGCATTCCACAAGTTCGTAAACAGCAGTTTCGGTTGGCAGTTTCCAAAGACCCCTTCCTCATGACCCTTACTCAACTCCTGCCCTAGTAGTTTCAGGACCCCCCAGGCCCTGTTTGCACAACCAGCTTCCCTACCTCTTGGGCTATAAAAAGCCCCTACCGTCCTCCCTCAGTGCGACTTCCTCGGCCCGCACCTTTGGACTGAGGAACCTCGCTCGCGAGTCCTAATAAAGGCTATTCTCACTGCCATTTGCCTTGTGTCTTCGTTCCCGGTTCGGCTCCAGCCTCAGTTTACCTTTACATTTGGTGCCGAAACCCAGGAGGAGACCCCTCCCCCGGACCCTTCCTGGGTCGGGCAGGCGCTCCTCTCCCAGAGCGAGGACCTTCTTTCTGAGCCGGGAGCCGTTTCACCAAATCCAAGACTCAATTCAATCACTGCTGGGTAAGTTTTCTCCTGTCCTGTAGGCCCCCTCCGGGAAGTCCTTGTCCAAAACGCATGGCCACGTCAGGGGCTCCCTCTGGTCAACTGTGACCTTGGCACCGGGGACTAGGAGACGTCCAACCTCCCCGGAAGCTGCCATACCCTGCACTCCTCATGACAGTGGGAGGATGCTCCCATTGCCACCGGACTGCCCGCCTTAGGACCATGGGAACTACCCAGTTCAAACCAAACCGAAAATCCCCTCTGAGGTGCCTCTTGGCTAATTTCCAGACTTTAAGTCTCAGCCAAGACCTAAAACAAAAGCGGCTCATTTTCTTCTGCATGGTAGCATGACCGCAGTATAAATTGGATAATCAGTCTCAGTGGCCTGCAGAAGGCACTCTAGACTTTAACATCCTCTTGGATCTGACCAACTTCTGCAAGAGACTAGGCAAATGGCACGAGATAGCCTATGTTCAAGCCTTTTGGGACTTGCGTTCTCGCCCAGATCTCTGCGCTCAATGCTCGTTAGCTCAGGTCCTACTCGCAAAGTCTCTTCCCTCGAGCAAGGAGAGGGATGATTCCTCCTCTTTTTCTGAGCCTCCTGACACCCTATCCCGGCCACCCCTTCGGTCTCCCACCAACCTTCTCTTTACCCTGACCCACCATTTTCCCCGTCCTCGTCACTGCCTCCCCTCCCTTCCACCCCTCCTGTGCCCTCGCCAAACCCGACAGATTCTGTCTCCCCTACCTCCACCTCCTCCCCTTGCTCGCCTGTCTCAGCCCATACTCGGTCCAGGACCGACCTCCTGTGTCCCTTGCGAGAGGTGGCAGGCGCCGAAGGAGTGGTCCGGGTCCGTGTGCTATTTTCGCTGGCAGACCTGTCTAAGATTGACGAGCGTGTAGGCTCTTTCTCGGCCAACCCCACTCAGTATTTCAAAAAGTTGAGATACCTGTGCCAGGCGTATGACCTCACCTGGCATGATCCCCATATCGTTATGACCTCAACCCTGTGCCCTGAGGAACGGGAGCGTATGCTAGTGGCAGCCAGGCAGCACGCTGACCAGGTTCATTTAACTGACCACGCCATGCCAGTTGGCACTGAGGTGGTGCCCTCAGCCGAGCCCAACTAGGACTAGCAGGTTGGTCAGGCAGGCTGCCGCCGCGGTGATATGATGGTCCAGTGCCTTCTTGCTGGCATGCAGGCAGCCTCCAATAAGTCAGTCAATTTTAATAACTTAAAGGAGGTAGTCCAAGGCTCAGATGAAAATCCGGCTATTTTTCTTAACCAACTGACAGAGTCACTTATTCAGTACACCCGCCTTGACCCTGCCTCCCCTGCAGGAGGAGCCATCTTAGTTTCATACTTTATTTCTCAGTCGGGCCCCGATATCCAAAAAATGTTAAAAAAGGCGGAGGACGGCCCTCAAACTCCCATCCAGGACTTAGTCAAACTGACCTTCAAGGTCTACAACTCCAGGGAGGAAGCAGCTGAGGCCCAATGACAGGCCAGGCTAAAACAGAGGGTACAACTCCAAACCCAGGCCTTGGTAGCAGCCCTGAGGCTGGCTGGCTCCAGGAGCTCCCAGAAAAGAGGTACTACCCGAGCGCCACCTGGTGCCTGCTTCAAATGCAGCAACGACGGCCACTGGGCCAGGCAGTGCCCTAACCCAAAGGAGCCAACTCGCCCCTGTCCGAACTGTTGGCAGATGGGCCACTGGAAGTCAGACTGCCCCGACCTAAGGACGGTCGCTGCGCCTCCGCGTGACGACCCTCCTCCAGGTATTGGAGGCGCCTTCCAGCTCCTCGACACCGACGAAGATTGAAGAGGCCCAGACTCGGGAACCCCTCTTACTCTCGCCGAGCCCAGGGTTATGCTTCAGGTAGCGGGTAAGTCCATATCTTTCCTCATGGACACAGAGGCTACCTACTCTGTTTTGCCTTCCTTTAGTGGCCCCAGCCACCCCTCCACTGTCACGGTCATGGGAATTGATGGCACTCCCTCCACCTACCGCCAGACTCCTCCTCTGTCTTGCCGCTTGGATGGCTCCCTCTTCTCGCACTCATTTCTTATCATTTCTTCGTGCCCAGTCCCCTTGTTAGGAAGAGATCTCCTCTCCAAGCTAGGGGCCTCAGTTCACTTCCGACCCAACCCCTCCCCACACCTCGCGTTCCTCTTCCCCCTTCTCTCACCTGACAAACCCCGCCAGGCTGACCCCCCACTCCCGTTTCCAGTCCCCATTAACCCTAAGGTGTGGGACACCTCCATCCCAATCATTGCCCAGCACCATACTCCGGTCCGCATCCGGCTAAAAGACCCTTCCAAGTTTCCCTCTAGACCCCAGTTCCCTATTTCCCTTGAACATCGATAGAGATTAAAACTTATCATTATACGCCTGCTCCGACAGCACATTCTAGTTCCCGCCAACTCACCATGCAATACTCCTATCCTACCTGTACAGAAAAGCTCTGGGGCCTGTCATCTTGTACAGGACCTACGCCTCATCAATGAGGCAGTAGTCCCTGCCTTTCCAGTTGTTCCTAATCTATATACATTCTTCTCGCGTGTTCCCCTGACACCACCCATTTCACTGTCCTTGACCTGAAGGATGCCTTCTTTACCATCCCTCTACACCCAGACTGCCACTTTCTGTTTGCTTTTACATTAGAAGATCCAGACACTCATATTTCTTCCCAGCTGACTTGGACTGTTTTGCCTCAGAGGTTCCGTGATAGCCCCCATTTTTTCAGACAGGCACTGGCACAGGATGTTGTCCTCTGTCCCCTGACCCACAGCACACTATTGCAGTATGTCGATGACTTATTACTATGTAGTCCTTCCTAGGAGTGCTCCCTTGCAGATACTGCTACACTTTTAAATTTTCTAGGCGACCAAGGTTATCAGGTTACCCCGGCTAAGGCTCAACGTTGCAGCCCTTCTGTCACCTATCTAGGCATACTCCTCACACCCACTACAAAAAGCCTCACAGCAGATAGAATAAGCCTCATTGAAACTCTCCAGCCTCCTCAGGATGCGGAAGAGATCTTGTCCTTCCTAGAACTGGTGGGCATAGTGAGTCTTATCCCGTGGCCCCGCTCAGGATCTTTTAAGGCCTACATCAAGGTCGTAAGCAGCCTC